TGGCACTCACTCTTGTCCTCGGTTTAAGGCCGATTCTAAGCAGGTTAAAAATGCATGCTTGCCCAGTGACATGATTTCTGCATGAACCCCCCACCCCCACCCCCACCCCAGGGACTGCTGGAACAATCTTCTAAAGGAGGCAAGGCTCAGTGGGCAAACCGGGTTTGCAGTGGGAGAGAGAACAGAGGCCCTGGCGGTGGTGAGCAAGGTGACCAGTCGCATGCACTACACCTCTGTGTGCTTCTCTCTCTGTCTGCACACAAAACCACAGCTCACCAGGTCTGGGATGGCACTCTGCCCTGGCCCACCCCCTCCTCTCTGGTGCCTCCTGACCGCAAGCCCTCCTCTGCACCTCTCAGGCCACAAACGGCCCTGCGTTGCTTGCAGAAGCAAATCCAAGCTCCAAGGGGGACCTGAAGGGCGCCCCAAGGGGCCTCAAGTATCCGCCAGTCACACAAGTAACTCCTGCACACTCCGGCTCCCCGTTCTTACCTGGTCTCCTGCTCTTGGAATCTCTTCCCACATCACCAGCTCTCCTCAAAGGCCAGGTGGAATGACCTAACCTCACAGAAGGTAAGGCTTTCTTCCCCCTGTGCTCCCACGGCTCTTCATTTTTAGCCTCTCACGAAGCGCTGCCCTCTTCACAATGCAGGCACTTGATAGCAGCCCTAGGTCCTCTCCTACAGGCTGTCTTCCAGGAGTAGCTGCACCCCGTGCCCGTGCAATCAGTGTGGAACAATGAACAACTGATGAACCCAGTTGTGGACACTCGTTCTTCTTTCATGTTTTGAAGAGAGGAAAGGAGCAGCCCCTAAGGGAGGTGGAGGCCCTGGCCTGCACAGACACACCTCCGGAGTGTCTCCCCTTGCGCTTCACCCCAATTCTGAGAGGCGCCTTGGGGAGAACTGGCCAGGTCTCCCTCCAGCGCAGCAGACGGTACCAGCTGAGAGGTGGAACCGAATGCCCAGACCCTGTAGGGGTGAGGACCCAGGCCAGGGAGGTGTAATGGACCCCCTGAAGTTCTCGGAGAAGGGGCGTGGTCAGTGGAGAAGGGAGGGGCGGCCACCAAAGGATCTCAGGGAGCACCCGTGAGGTCAGTCTTTCCTAGCCGAGCAGAGCAGGCCTCAGGCGCTGCAATCCAACTGCCTAGACAGGGACACCCCTGGAAAGGCTCTCGCGGGCTCACGTTCCCTCCCCCCACTCATTCACTGTCCGCTCCCCGACCTGCAGCCGCCTCAGCCCCGGCGGGTCCACAAGGCCCCTGAGCCCAGGGGCGCCGGACAGCCCAGGCGCGGCCTCCACCGAACCCAAGCCTCAGGCAGGCGGCGCTGAGGACACCGAGGAACCGTCCCAAGCCGCTACCTGCCGCCTTCGCCCATCAGGCGCGGCGTCCACTCCCGACCTCAGCCTCCGCGGCCCCGCCCCGTCCCGAAGAAGCCCCGCCCCCATGCGCGCCCGCCCCGCCCCGGCGGAGCCCCGCCCCCCACGCGCGGCTCCTCCTTCCCGCGTTCCCGCTCTCTTCCCCCTCACCCAGGTAGCTCTCTCTCTCTGCTTGCGAGCGGCTGAGGGATGTCCTCCCGTTCCCTTAGCGCTGTGGACGCGATGGAGCCGGCCCTACAGATCCGGCCCTGAGGTGGCCTGGGGACAGGTCGCCGTCCTGGAGGCTGGGAGCCGCCGCAGCAGCGCGAGGCCCGCCTTCCCGGCCGTGACTGAGCCGGGCACGAAGGACAAGCATCGGAACCACACTTTCCTTCAACATCAGAATGCAAGAGGCCACAGGCAACACGCCGTGTTGGCATGTGTGCGTCCCCGGATGCCGGCCCCCAGCCCCTTTTTCCCTCGTCCATAGCGCGGGAGCGATTTCCAGCCTTTGCTTCCTCCAACCTCCGTACCCGCTGTGGGCTCTCGCTCGGGCGGCCCGGGGATCAGATCCATGACCTCCTTCAGGACTTGGCCTCCCCAAAGCTGTGGGACCCCGACTCGCGGCGGGTCCGTCAGATCCCAGCTCAGACTGCTCTGCTCCCATCTGCAGCAGCTCGCGTCAGCCTCCCTGGCTGTCCTCTCCTGGCAGAGAGGAGCCCCGCCCTGCTGAGGCACTGAGAACTCATACTGTTGTGCAAGCAGGACCTGTTCCCACCGGCAGGAGAGGAGCCCAGTCCCCTGCTCAACACCGATGCGAGATGTGCCTTCATCTCTGTCATCCTTGGCTGGGGACCCCAAAGTCACTCAAGACAAACTGCAAGCATTCAGGAATTCTCCCTTGAGTTAGCCAAACAATCTTTAAAAGTCTGTCAATGAAATTTCTGGGGCCAATGTCCTGTACTATGAAGCCTGCTTTTTTTGCTTTTTAAAGATTTATTTATTTATTTGAAAGTTACAGTGAGAGGAAAGGCAGAGGGAGACAGAGAAGTCTTCCATCCGCTGGTTCACTCCCCAAATGGCCACAATGGCTGGAGCTGCACCGATCTGAAGCCAGGAGCCAGCAGCTCCTCCGGGTCTCCCACGTGGGTGCAGGGACCCAAGCACTCAGGCCATCCTCCAATGCCTTCCCAGGCCACAGCAGAGAGCTGGATGGAAGGTGGAGCAGCCGGGACACAAACCGGTGTCCATATGGGATATGGCGCTGCAGGCGGTGGCTTTACCTACTACGCCACAGCACCGGCCCAAAAGCCCACTATCTTAAAAGACATCTGATACTGCCCTGAGCTATTGGGAACACAAGGCAGGTGCCGAGGGTAGCACAAAATGGGAGCCAATCAAGTTTCCTCTCTGCCCTAGGCTGGTAGGAGCTTGGGCCAACTTGTAAGGGTAAGATGGGGTCAGGTGTTCAGACTGTGAGCAGCCAAAAGCAAGTTTTGAGCTCTGATGAACAGCAGACCCGTGGAGCGCACTCACTATGAGCCACACCCTGTATTAGGGGCATTGCCTGGGTCAATTTTTTAATTTATTTGACAGGTAAGAGATATAGACAGTGAGAGGGAGAGACAGAGAGAAAGGTCTTCCTTCCATTGGTTCACTCCCCAAATGGCCGCTACAGCCGGAGCTGTGCCGATCCAAAGCCAGGAGCCAGATGCTCCCTCTTGGTCTCCCATGCGGGTGCAGGGCCCAAGCACTTGGGCCATCCTCCACTGCCCTCTGGGTGCAGCAGAGAGCTGGACTGGAAGAGGAGCAACCGGGACAGAATCTGGGGCCCACATGGGATGCTGGCACTGCAGGCAGAGGATTAACCAAGTGAGCCACGGCGCCAGCCCCGCCTAGGTCAATTTAATCTTACTGCCATCCCTGTTTTTGCAAATGAGGAAACTGAGGCTCAGAGAAGGTAAGCCTGTCTAAGGACACAGAGCAATGAGCAGAACCACAGTCTAATCCTGGCCAAGTCCAAAGCTTCTACTCTTCCCCTTTCATACAGGGAACAGAATACAATAAAGGGACTTTTGGACTGGCTAGTGCCTTCTCAGGAGCAGAGCTGGGTGAGTACCCCCAGGTCATGGTCTCCACGCACTGGGCGAGGAATGATTCACGAGCCCTTTCTTCGTTGGACTTTGCTCTGATCAATCAGCAGTGTCTGCTCTTTGATCACGAAAGACGCCCTGCTTCCGTCCAGCATTTGGAGAAGGGCTTCCACGCCTGGTCTAGCAGACTTCACAATCAGCGGCTCAGAGAGGCTCCCTTAACTCCTGACAACACACCCCCAAAAGGAGGGCTGGATGTATTCTGCACCCTCTGGCCAGTGTGGCAAGGCCCAGCTCACCTTCTTGTCGGTGTAGATAACCACGGGCGAGAAGCTGAGAGGAGGGCACCCATGAGTCTGTGCAGCAGGCTGGGCTGCTCTTCCCGAGTGTCGCTCTCCAGTGCTCTCGCTGCACTTTATGCCAAACCCTATACTACACTCCCGTGACGTTTAGGCAACCCAGAATGTAGCAAGCAAAACACTGTCCCTAATCGTGCATAAATGCAAAGAGTCATTTTCATTGTACACCTCATGGGGAAGCATACTTCATTTACATAAACAATGAGCATACTTGCACAAAGCGGGTAGAGGGGGTAATCTTGTTCCATAATATTCTGTGTCCCTGTTGAAAATGTTTCCTGGCAGAGAAAGAGCATTTGGAAAAACTGGGCAAAAATAATATGTAAGACTTCCCATGGAACCATTGTGGGTACCCAAGGGATAAACAGTCACATTTTCAGCTCCTGGCCAAGCCAACAGCTGCAAGAAGTTGATAAGGATGCAGCAGACGGGGCTGGGGAGCAGAGGGGAGCACACATGAAAGCCTCCGAGTCTTGGACTTGAACAAGGAAGAACAAGAAAAGGAAGGACTGCCCTCTGCTTTTTACCCTCCTTCTGGTTCTTTTTGCAAGTTCTTCTATGAATTTTAAAGAATTACAGATGGGTTTGGACTAAATGCACATTTGCCATGGTTTTAATCATTCTAAGGTTGTTCTCAGTGCACAGGTGGGGAAAAGCCCCACGCATTTGAGCAGTGCAGGCAATGGTGTGCTGTGTCACCTCACTGAACAAGCCAGTCCAGCGCCCACTCTTGCCTCTATCCTGGACAACGCTTGTTGGACACTTCGCACTCAGGGCAGCGCTATGTGGTCTGAGAAGGAAGGTGTGGTCTTGCTGCAGAGGCCCTTGTGGCCAGGGAGAAGTTTCTACCCTGCTCCTACTCCCCTTCTCATCATTCTCTCATCTCATCCTGTGCCTCTCCCCATCAAAGAAACCTGGATAGACACAGATCAGAAGATCTACTGTCTGAGCCTGCCCAGTACACATGGCATAGAGTGTCATGAAGATGGACATGCATCACGTGTTCAAAGTCACCACCATTTGGGCTGTGGGCGGGGCATGATCACAAAGGCTGCAACTCGTGAACCTGGAGCCTGGCAGGCCAACGCCAAGGACAGAACTCCAGGCACCTCCAGCACAGTTCCACTCCAGAAAGAGCTGATGATGGGACGGGAAAGGAACACCAGACTCCAAGAAATGTAAACAGCCGTATTTTCAACATAATTTACTACAGGTCTCTGAAGTGTATATAAAACGTTTTAGTGCAACATCTTACAAAGAGTTTTTCCTTTAAAAAAACAAAACAAAACAATTCAACAGCTCTCTACATCATGCAAGGGTAGTTTTCTTACCCCATCTTTTTTTTTTTCCTTCAACAATTAACGCAGAGAAACTATTGTTTGAAAAGAATATGAAAACTTGCTACAGAAACACCCTGGGTCAAAGAGGGTGTGGTCATATCCATGTCTTGGAATGCGCCTAGCACAGTGTAGTTTTCCATAAATGCAACATTGTAGACGCAGGTGAGGCAAGAGAGATGCCCAAGCGTTCCTCTCCTGACAAGACTAAAGCTTCGGTAGACAATGTGCAATGAGGTCTTGCAGCCACTGGAGGGCACCATCACCATTCATCCGACATCACATTTCCATAGAAATGGTCAAAGAAAGAAGGTCCCGGGGTTTTTCATAGAAAGCTCCCAAAGTTCAAGCCTTGATGGTATCCCCGGCCCGTTAGAAAATAGAAAAAGCAATTCTTAGAATACTGGCTTCGGTTTCTCTCTTCCTTTCACATTTCCTGCAACTGCTTCACCTATTTAACTACGTGCAGCACCTACTTTTCTACTGCTACGAAGCAATTCCAACTGAAAGCTGGGTCGGTCCCAGCCGGCCCTCTGGCACCCTTCCACTCAGAGGGGAAGTCAGTCCTCTTCCCGCGTGACTCAGCCTGTAAAGTAGGAGTCAGCACTTTCCCACTTAAAGCCCACACCTTTTGATGAAGAAATGGGCCCGAAGACCTTCTTTGTTCATGTTGGGGCCCATTCTGTACCTCCAAGGCGTGGATGCAGCATTGTAAACGAGCATCAGTTTGGTTAGCAAACATGGGATGCAGGTGGCACTGCCTACCTGCGGTCTCCTAGGAAGGTCTATCTGAGGGACAGGCAGGCCAGCACCAGCCTGTCCGTCACCCGCTTCCCCTCAGCCACAGCTTGACACATCATCCATGGGCCAGCCCGCACCCCCTGCAGACTCCTGCTGAGGACTCGCACCCTCATGGTCATGGCCACCTGCCCTGGCGTCTGTTCATGTTTGGAACATTCGAGCTCCACAGGAACTTCTTGTTGCCTTTTAGTTCTAGAATCCCTGGTAGCTTTGCCCTCTTGGGATTCAAGACGCAAGGTCCTGGAGGAAGAGAGCTGAATATGGGGAAGCGTGAGCACAAGACATCTTCACGGAGTGAACAAATGGGGGTAGGAAGCCCAGCACCTGGCCCAGCAGTGTAAACAACAGTGGGACACTGGCCCAGAATCCCGGGTGTTGAATTAAAAACAATTGTAACAATGAACAACCAAGTAACCTAAAGCCACACAGAAAGAACCAAGGGAAGGGAGAAACTGCCATAGACAGCGCCAGTCGCCCCTGTCTGCTGAGACAGGTGCACTGGAGAGCTGCACGGGCCGGGCTGGTCTCCCCTGGGGCCGATGCTCTAATGCAATGAGAAGCAGCAAGCGGCAAATGGCACAGGAGGAAGACATCAGTGTCTGAGGCAGAGGAGAGGTCTCATCTTCACATCTCTGCCTTCTTCTGTGTCCTCCAACGCCAGGTCCCAGAATGCCTGCTCTCATCCCCACGACTTGCTCTTGTGTCCCTGGCCTGGTGCCCACCACATGTTCCTACGGTGGCTGCATTGGCCCCTGTGCTTGGCTCGGGGCTGACCCCCTTCCAGCCTTACCCAACACTTCCCCCCTGCAGAGTCTGGTAAAGCACCCGCAGACAAAAGCCACCAGCTCCCAGCTGTCAGTCAGAGACCGCCCTTGCACAGAACAGATCAAGCCAGCAACCAGCCCTGTTTTCTCTTCCTTCTCTAAGCATCGGCTTTGGTCAAGCTCAAAGTCAGTCACTGCTGGCAGCAGCCCTCTGCCCTCTGTAGCTCAAAAAGTCTGCACTGCAGGGGGCTTCTGACCCATTCTTCCTCCAGGATGGCTTTCTGACTCTGGCAGTGATGGGGTGAAGCCATTGTGCTGCGTAACAGCCAGGCTGGCTGGGCACCGTCTACTCCTAACGGACTTATGCAGGACTCCTCGTGTACGTCCACAGTTCTTTGAAGCAAAATGCAATGCTTTCATCTTCACTGCAAAGTGGTTCAACCACCCCAGCTGAGGGGAAAGATAAGATACAAATTGGGCCCACACTACACACAATTTTCAAGTCTTGGTAAGAAAGGGAAAAAAATGTTGGCGTATATTTTGGTCCATGGGTGGCATTTTTAAATGCATAAAAACAGGAAGTCTTGGAAGATACTCCTTGCCACCGTCACGTCGGCCTTCTTTTGCCGTCAGTGAGAAATTTGTTCAAACCCTTATGAGTCCAAAAGGGGTGGAGGGAAGGGATTTAAAAAGAGTACATGACGAAACAGAACAACCCCCATATCTATCTGAGAATACGAGATAAATCAGTGAGTAGATGTGGCACCTGGAGCTACTCACTACATTACCGAAGACAGAAACAAGAAACCCGAGACGATGGCAGGGTCACAATATGTAGGTGCAAGTAGCTAACCAACCAAGACTGCCCCCTGGAGGCGGTCTGTCCCTGTGAACACTTGTCAAGTCTAAGGATCTTCTGCCCCGGCACTGGAGTGTGGGTGCTGTCGACTGAACCATCACAGAGCGAGAGGTGGTGAGGCAGAGGCTCAGTTCCTCCACGGCTGACGTCCGCTGGGCCGGCCCCCTTTAGTCTATGGCTCCCGGGTGGATGCTGAGCACGGGGGGCTCCAGGCACGTAGGGGAGTAGTTGAGGTGCGGCTCTTTGATCCACAGCAGGGGCACCCCGTTCTTGCCTTCGGAGTTCTTGCTTGAGTGGCGGCTTTTGAAGCGCACCAACAGGATGGTGATGACGAGGATTCCGAAGATGGGGAAGGGGTAGAAGAAGACGAAGTAAAAGAGTGCGTCGTTGGAGCAGATGAGAGACTGGAGGGTGGAACCTGAAGAGGATGGTGAGGGAGACGAGACAGTGAGGGCAGTGAGCCTGGACTGCCGGCGCCGTGCCCACCCTGCCCCCACCACAGATGGGGAGACCACCCTTGTGTTTGCTTTCCCACAGCAATGCCTCTTCCAGTTCTTGGCTGCACCGTCAAAGGAATGCTCCCATTGTCCGTGGAGATCCATTATTTCTGCTTGGAAGGCCAAAGACTATCACATAGCTTATTGATTGTGAACTCGGCTGCATCTAGGACACTACGGAAGCCGTCTCCAGTTCCGTCTGAACCTCCTATGTGGTTCTAGTTCCTGTGTCCCCTGGCATGTAGTTCTGCTGCAAACCCACCCCACCCCAACCCCTTCCTTTGGGAACCTAACACACTCTCCTCCTTCGAGCTTCTGAGAGCAGAAATGATGCCTGCTTGATTAATACCATCGATTAGAATGTCACCGTGGGCCATCTACAGCCAGCCACAGTGTGTCCAGGACTGCTCAGAACACAGCGTTAGTAATTGCTGGCTACGGAAGAGGATGAAGCCAGGCAGCCTGTGACCCAGGTCCAGGGCTGCTCTGCCACTTGTCCAGCCTCAGCAGGAGCCTGGCCTCTGGAAGCCCCTGCTTTCCTTTAAAGTAAGGCTGCCGGGTGGCCTCTGCCCCTTGACGCTTGCTAACTACGGATGTGCACACAGGCCAGCAAACTGCAGCCTGAGCAGATTCCTTTTACGTCCAGACAGGCGTATTCTGCAGATCATCAGGTGGTCTAGGTACAAGTTAGGGTTTTTTCTGCTTTTCCTTCCACTGCAGTCATTGCTCAGCAGTGTTAACACATAACATTTACTTACACTTACTAATGTCCAAGACATACAGAATGGCTGATAGTCACGTTGACCCACAAAAGCTCACTTGCATGTGACCCTATCTAATGTCTGGTTAACAGGGTTGAGGAAAAGAAATAGCTGACAAAACTCAAAAACAAATTTAAGATGATGTGGTCAAAATTTTGACTGAAAAGAAGTTGAAAATTCTAGCAAACAGCTTTTTCTGCATGATAGGCTAATGCTACTGTAAGAAACACCATTTTCAGTCTGAAAAAAATCCACATTTTGGCAGAAGGCCAATCAAAAGAGCGCCTTGTTGAGACATATAATTCAGGACACAGGTACAGAGAACTTTAAAAAGTTCATGGAAAATGGACTTAGAAGATAAGTTTATCTTGATGCAAAAAGGTTTTGAAATTATGCGTGGTTTTCTTCATAATACACAATTTCCATGAACTTTTTAAAGACCTCTTGCATGCATGGAGCTCAAATTTTTTTGTACAAATTTCTTTGCATCATCATAAAAAACTCATCTTTTAATTCCATTTTCCCTACAAACTTTTTGAGGTACCCTCATACATCAAATCCTACCATATCTCAAACCTTACTAATAAATGCCCACGGCAGTTGAGAATGCATATTGGGGCCAGTGTTGTGGCACAGCAAGTTGAATGGCCTCCTGTGATGCCAGCATCCCACATGGGCACCAGTTTGAGTCCTGGTTGCTCTATTTTTGATCTAGCTCCCTGCAGTGTGCCTGCAGAAGCAGCAGAAATTGGTCTCTGCACCCATGTGGGAGACCCAGCCCCAGCCATTGTGGCCATTAGGGGAGTGAACAAGTGGATGGAAAATCTTTCTCTCTCTCTGTCTCTCACTCTCCTTGTAATTCTGCTTCTCAAATAAAATAAATAAATCTTTAAAAAAAAAAAAAAAACCACACACACACAAGAAAGAAAGAAAAACTGCTTATTAACCCATGAACAAACTCCAAATTTATCTTCCCAGCAGAGTTGGAGCCAACAGGGATATCTTTCCTCAGTCTCAGGGGAACTTACCTGTATCCAGAACACGGATGCCGATGGGGGCGGACTCCTCCTCTGTCAGCCGATACCATTCCTTCTGGGGGCTGGGCAGCCACTCCTCCACGTGGCAGGAGTAGTTGCCCGTGTCGTGGGGGCTGGCCTGCAGCACCGTGAGCCGGTAGAGCAGTGGAGAGAGCCTCTGGAAGCGAAGCCTGCCCTCCCAGGGGCCGCCCTCTGGGCCAAAGACGGCATCTGGGCCCACACTCAGCAGGACTACGCGCTCTGTCGGGCTCTCCTCGTTTTCCTCGTCGACGTCCTCATCGTCGTCCTCCTCCTCTTCTTTTTCCTCCTCCTCTTCTTCCAGACCTGGGCTTCCCTTTTTCCCGGCAGCTTTAGTCCTTAGGGAATACCAGGCCACAGCAAAGCGGGAGTCCTGGCTGGAGCGGGACACGATGCTACAGTCCAGCTGGAAGGCGGCCTTCTCAGACACCGTGGCGTTGGGCACCACTGTGTCCACCTGCAGGGCGGCATCTGGGGGCACACAAGGGACAAGGAAGGGAGAACAGGCTGCTTTAATTTATTTGTTTAAAACAAACTCAATGTCCATGACTACTGTAATAATATCCATGCCATAGAATGCTTTGCACCTATTGAAAAGACATCCAGGTGGTGCTACAGTCAGGAATGTGGAAGCAGACCCAAGACAAACTGCTACAAAGCACCATGAACTCTGTATATGAACTTGTGCAGAAAAAAAACTTTTTTTTTTTTTTTTTTGACAGGCACAGTGGACAGTGAGAGAGAGAGAGACAGAGAGAAAGGTCTTCCTTTACCATTGGTTCACCCTCCAGTGGCTGCCGCGGCCGGTGCATTGCGCTGATCCAAAGCCAGGAGCCAGATGCTTCTCCTGGTCTCCCATGGGGTGCAGGGCCCAAGCACTTGGGCCATCCTCCACTGCACTCCCTGGCCACAGCAGAGAGCTGGCCTGGAAGAGGGGCAACCGGGACAGAATCCGGCGCCCCGACTGGGACTAGAACCCGGTGTGCTGGCGCCGCAAGGCGGAGGATTAGCCTATTGAGCCGCAGCACCGGCCAAAAAAACTTTTTTGACATATTATTTATATTTGTATAAAGTATCTGTGGAAGAATTCACAACAGGCTGGTGATGTGGCTGCTGTGGACTCCAGGCAGGGAGGGACACTTATTGCCACTGTAACCCCTTGCAGTGGTTGAACAGTGTCCTCCCAGAATTCACGTCTACCTGGAATCTCACAATGTGACCTTAGGGGCAGCAGGTGTTGTGTCACAGCAGGTTAGGTTGCAGCTCAGGATGCCCACAGCCCATACTGGAGTGCTTCCGATCCAGCTAATATGCTAATGTGCCTAGGAGGCAACAGAAAATGACCCAAGTACTTGGGTTCCTGCCACCCACATGGCAAGTCATGGATGAAGTTCCTGGCTCTTAGCTTTGGCCTGGCCCAAGCCCCAGCTATTGTTAGGTACTTTGAGGGAGTGAAACAGTGGATGGAAGCATTCTCTCTCTGCCGTTCTTTTTTTCTTTTCTTTTCTTTTCTTTTTTTTTTTTAAGATTTATTTATTTAGAAAGCTGGAGTTACAGAGAAAGAGACAGAAACAGAGAGGGGGGAGATCTTCCATCCACTGGTTCACTTCCAGATAGCTTCAACAGCCAGCACTGGGCCAGACTGAAGCCAGGAGCTAGGAGCTTCTTCTGGGTTTCCCACTTGGGTAGCAGGGGTCCAAACATCTGGGCCATCTTCTGCTGCTCTTTTCCCAGGTGCATCAGCAGGGAGCTGGACCTCAAGTAGAGCAGCCAGGACCTGAACCAGCACCAACACGGAATGCTGGCATTGCAGGCAGCAACTTTACCTGCTCCACCACAATGCCAGCCCCGCCCTCCATTCTGCCTTGCAAATAAGTAAACAAATATGAAAACAAAACAAGACAAAAGGAATGTGACCTTATTGAGAAATAGGTCCTTTGGAAACAGGTCCTTTGCAGATGTAGCTGGCTAAGATGAGATACTGAATTAGGGTAGACCGTTAAGCAAATAACTAGTGCTATGGACTGAAATCCCCTCAAACGTCATATGGTGATATCCTGACCCCAGTGTGACTATTTAGACAGAGCCTTTAAGCGGTTATAAGGGTGGGCCCTAGATCCAATCGGACTGGTTACTTTAGAAGAAGAGGAAGAGAAATAATCTTTCTGTCTCTCTTTGGGTGTGTACACACCAAGGGAAGCCTACCTGAGGACACTTTGCAAGCCAAAAAGAACTCCCTTACCATAACCCAGCATCCAACCTCAGAGTCCAGACTGTGAGGAAAAAAAAAAACTTCTGCTGCATTAGCCACCACCCTGTAGCACTGTGTCTGGCAGCCAAGCCGACCAGGACAACGGGTGTCCTTGTAGGAACGAGAGGGGGTACGCGGGGGAGGGGAAAGCCACAGGACACACAGCGTGGGCTGCACTGATGCAGCCACCAGCCAAGGGCACTGGGAGCTCCGGGCAGCTGGACGAGGCAGGAAGGGTTCCTCCCTGGACCTGTCCGTCACAGGGAGCGTGGCTGCAGGGACACCTGGCATTTGAACTTCTGGCCTCCAGAACTGTGAGAGAGTAAGAGCTGTCGAGTTGGCAGCCCTAGGAAACCAACACGTCTATTCAGTAATTTTTGGGTTTCAACTGTGTGTAGGTAGCTGACTGCTGAAGCCATAGTGAGCCCAACACAGTAAATATTCTCTCCAAGCATTGACGCCTCAGACAGCCGGCAGAGCTGAGGGGGCCTCTCCCTCTGCACAGCGGCCTTTTGGGAGAATACACACAGACTAAGTGTGCTCGCCAACCTAGGGAGGCCCAGACAAGCCAGAGAGAGGTACCGAGGCAGGTGAGTCACCGCACAGACACCGCCAGACAGGCTCCAAGCTGTTTCTTTTGTTGCCTTCTTTTCTTTTTCTGGCTCATTGTAGTTGGTTCTGAACTAATCATTCACTCCCTAGCTCCTAAACGCCCTCCCTTAAGCTCTGTTTATGAAATGTTCATGAAAGATACCAGGGTAACATCAATAAAAGTAGAGAGACCAAATCAGATTCCAGCTGGAGGAAGATCAAGTAGGAGCTATTTCCCAGGTATTGCCCTGGGTTTGAATGAATTGGCTTAATGTTGCTCGCAGGTGAAAACAAATGGGTTCCTACTGCTTCTGTGGGTCTGGCAGCCCCTTCCCCCTGGCCACATCACTCCCAGCCCTCACACTGCTGGCTGGTGAAGGTTTGGTAACTGGTCACAGGAGGTGGGCACAGGGCCTGAGCTCAGCTCTCACGGGCAGGAGATGCCCGAGGGCACAGAATGGCAGGATGGAGAATGTTCAGTCAGCTCCCGGACTCCTCTGCTGATCCTGCCAGAGAACACACTGACATGCTACCCCAAAGCCATGGGAGAGCTGTACCCCACACCAGGGGTGGGGAACGGTCAGCCTCTGACGTCGTCTGGCCCTTCCAAGACAACTGCAGGCAGAACTCAAAATTCAGGCAGTCTATAGCAGGCTGATTTTTAAGTTGACAATTGTATGGGCCACAAATGATGTTATATAAATAACCAAATGGCCCTTGGCAGAAAAAGGTCCCCCACCCCTGCCCCCAGACCAACAGGGGGCTTTGGGGACCATAGTACTTCTTCTCCATCCCAAAGTCCCTAGTGACTGGCCAGCGTATCTAGGTGGTGCTGGGTGTCAGGCGGTGCTGGGTGATGCCCAGTGGAATCCATCACGTGTGTCACGTGGCCACACAGAGAGAATCAGGCACTCAATTCCTCTAGAAGGTGCCCCTCTGTCTGCTCGCCCTTGGCTTCCTTCCCCTCTAACTGCCTGCTGTGTTTCTTGGCCACTTCCAGTGCCTTGACTGCATCCAGGACTCCAGTTTTGTGAATGGAATTCATTTCCACCTCCCTGCCCTTGATATGTTTCTCTACCACCAGGTTGGTTCCCAGTGTGCATCGCCTTGTAAAACAGGCCAAGAAAGTGGATGCCGCCCTCCGTGCAGGTTAGTGTCCTGTGGCTGTTAGTCTGACGGCTGCTTCCTGGTCACTCTCTGATGAACTTGGTTCTCTCTCCCTGCTCTGTGAGCCACACACCATACTCATTTGCTTCAGCACAACCTGACTGAGGGTACAAGCCCTTCATTGCGTGTTTTATGCTGTAGTGCACAGCCAACTCTAAGCACTGGAAGCTGATTTTTTTTTAAAGGTTTTTATTTATTTGAAAGGCAGAATGACAGAGAGGAAGAGACAGAGAGCAAGATCTTCTATCCACTGGTTCACTGCCCAGATGGCTGCAACAGCTGATGCTGGGCCAGACCAAAGCCGGGAGCCGCAGCTCCATCTGAGCCTCTTGCATGGGTGACAGGAACCCAGGTGCTTGGGCCATTGTCCGCTGCCTTGCCAGGTGCATGAGCAGGATGCTCAGTAGGAAGCAGAGGATCTGGGACTGGAACTCACACTCCGACACTGGGTACAGGTGTCCCAAGCAGTGTACTACAACACCCACACTAATGATTATTATCTAACACTACTCTTAAAGAGTTATGCTATGGGGCCGGTGTTGTGGCACAGTGGATAAAGCCTCCTCCTGCAGTGCTAGCATCCCACATGGGCACTGGCTCATGTCCCAGCTGTTCTACTTCCGATCCAGCTCCCTGCTAATGGCTTGGGAAACGCAGTGGAAGATGGGTTCCACTGTGCTTGGGCCCCTGCTACTCATGTGGGAGACCCAGCTCCTGGCTTCGGCCTGGCTCGGTTCCAGCTATTGCAGCCATCGGGAGTCGACCAGCACATGGAGGATATTTCTCTGTCTCTCCCCCCTCTCTGTAACTCTGACTTTCAAACAAATAAATCATTTTTAAAAATGTCGATTATTTTGAGTTTTCTACTCATATTATGTTCGATTATATCTCAGAAGTAAGTTTTTTAAATACATCCTCACAACAAACATTACACAACCAGTAAAGACCATGATGATGAAATGCTCTCGATGACACACAGAAAGAATCACGTATAAGGGTGAGTGGGGGAATACAACTAAGACAGTGAGATGCTCACTGTGTTTATAGAGAGAGGCAAGAGAATATGAAGGGGCCAGCACTGTGGCGTAGTAGGTAAAGCTGCGGCCTGCAGTGCTGACATCCCATATGGGCATCGGTTCGAGTCCCCGCTGCTCCACTTTCAATTCAGCTCTCTGATATGGCCTGGAAAAGCAATGGAAGATGGCCCAAGTCCTTGGCTCCTGCACCCATGTGGGAGACCTGGAAGAACCTCCTCCTGGCTCCAGGCTTTGGATTGGCACAGCTCCAGCTGTTGCAGCCATTTGGGGAGTGAACCAGTGGATGAAAGACCTCTCTTTCTCTCTGCCTCTCCTTCTCTTTCTGTGTAACTCTGACTTTCAAATAAAAAAATAAATCTTAAAAAAAAAAAAAAAAAAAAAAAGATGGGGCCAGCACCATGGCGCAGTAGGTTAATCCTCTGCCTGAGGCACCAGCATCCCATATGGGCACCAGTTCTAGTCCTGGCTGTTCCTCTTCCAATCCAGCTCTCTGCTATGGCCTGGGAAAGCAGTAGAAGATGGCCCAAGTGCTTGGGAGACTAGGAGGAAGCACCTGGCTCCTGGCTGCATCAGCACAGCTCTGGCCGTTGCGACCATCTGGGGAGTGAACCAACAGAAGGAAGACCTTTCTCTGTCTCTTCCTCTCACTGTCTGTAACTCTACCACTCGAATAAATAAATAAAATCTTTAAAAAAAAAAAAAAAGGAATATGAAGACACAAGGCAAGACCAAAGAGCCTATGCCACACAACAGTAGATATGTGGGCAGCGGGAATATGCATAACCTTTCTTTTCAGAGTCATACTTTTCTTCCCAGTGCTTTGTAATCAGCACAACTTAATCAGGAACAAACAGATGGAGAGGAGCGAGAAAGGTCGCGCCAACTCTCCCAGTGGAACGGGAGACAGACACAGGTTCCTGGGGCCATGTTGGGAGCACACGGAGTAGCAGGAGGGACACTGGAGTGACTCCTCCACCTGCTCGTCCTCACGGCCTCACAATCCTCTGTGGCATTGTTAGCCTCGTTCATAAAATCTACCACGCAGGGTGGCTGGGAAGCCAGAAGGCAAATCTAACGGTGGCAGGGGCAGCTGGAGCTCCGTCAGTGTCTGTCTCTCCCCACCCCACCCCGGGGACCTCACTGCGCTGATCTGCAGCAAATGGTGGGAGCTGTGAGAGGAGGGCAATCAGCTGCCCCTCACTGCAGTTCCCCTTCAAGAAAAGATAGGCAGCAGTTTCTAGGCAGAGTAGAAAGCAGAAAATACATAAATAAGTCAAAGCTCACAGGAAAATAGGAGTAACTCAGAGTGGAGGTGATTTTCCCCCCAGCTCGGGCAAGACACAGGCGGGCGTGAGACAGCGTCCTTTTCCCGTACAATGGGTGCATTCGGCACGCCAACATGTGCTCCGTGACGTACAGGGCCCAGCACAACCCTGAAGTTCCTGTGTCCCACGGACAAAACAAGATGCTCCAGGCAGATGTGAAAACACGACACGAACTACCAGTGGCGCCAAAGACCACAGACATGGAGGTCCGTGTGCTGAGAACAGCAGCAAGACAGAAGTCACAAGCTCGTCTCTGCCTATGTCCTGACAAGGACTGTGGACTTCTTACTGTCATCTGGGAGGGGGACGTGACGTGGCAAAGGACGCAGGCGATCCTGCACATCCTACCACTCATCACATGTGCTAGAATGTGGAGCAACAATTACACCTTGCGATTACATGCCCTCAGGTACTTCAGAAATAGCAATAAAGCCAAGAAAAGCCAAAGGCCACCAGAACAGACATGCCTACCAAGAAAGCTATTAGGCAGTGAGAGCACAGACTGCAGACCCTACGTGGCTTGCTATTTAGAGCACGTGAATCAATTCTTTTCCGCTGAAAACCCAGAAGTCTCATTTTTTTTCAACCACAGCCCTTATTTCAAGATTTCTGTCATATCCACACTTGTCCAAATCTGAGTGCATTCTATGAAAGCATTCTATTAGCAGGAATAACTAATTGCCATCTTTTATTCTAATTAAGAAATCAAATCACCTCAGGCCACAGCCAGATGTGCAATTTTCCATTCCAAAGAAAAAAAATTAAGACAACTTTGCAAATGCATATTGTAAACACACATAGAGTTAACCACCAGTATTTATGTGATGAATAAGCAACTTGTATCCAGGGCATAAAACATGGCACTTAGAGGGGAGCCTCGGCGCGTGGAGGCTGGGGAGATGAGCCCTCACCTGGTCGCATGACTGTGACCGTTGTCTGCCCAGCAGTATCCTCGGCCCGTTTATACCACACGCCGCTGGGGCTGGGCAGCCACTCCTCCACGCGGCAACTGTACGTCCCGCTGTCCTGCACGGCCACGTTCTGGATGAAGAGCCGGTACACGCCGGAGGATGGACTCTCCAGATGCAGCCGGCCCTGCAGCTGGTTCTTGGCCGCCTGCTCGCCATAGTGGAAGGTGGCCTCGCGGCTCAGGCGGGCCACGGTCTCCCGCTCCGGGTGGTTGGGCTTCCACACAAACCACTCCACCACGAGTTGGGAGGCCGCGCTGGTGCGGTTCAAGACCACACACTCCAGCTGCACCTGCCGGGTCTCCAGAATGGACAGGTTCCCCTGGGCTTGGCTGAGCTTCAGGCGGCTGTCTGGAACAGAGAAGACAGGGAAGTCAGCGCCAGGACACCAGAAGCAATCCACAGGCACCCTTCCCAACAGTAGGTGAGAAGGTGCCTTCCAGACACAGGACAGCAGCACCAACCCAGCAAACACATTTCAGACATGGCAGCCCAGAGAGCACGAGTTCCCTGATCGTGTGTCCTGAGTGCCAGGGAGTTCAATGTCGCAGGAACAGCAACCCTCTGCACACAACCCGCATGGAGTCAGGTGCTTGGGGGAGGGATGACGCAGCTGTAGAAGGCTATGCACACAAGGACAGCAGATTGCAGAGCCTGGGGACAACTGATGGAGTGGCAGTGAAAGGGCAGGGAGGGGCAGAGCAACCAGCAACTGTTTTTTTTTTTTTTTTTTTTTTAATTTTATTTGCAAGACAAAGACAGACCGACAGATATATCTTCCATCTGCTGCTTCATTCTCCAAATGTCTGCAACAGCTGGGGCTGGGCAAGGCCAAAGCCCAAAGCCCAGGACTCAATGCAGGCCTCCCATGTGTGTGTGTGGCAAGGACCCAAGCACTTAGCCGTCACCTGCTTCCTCCTGGTGTGTGCATCAGTATAAAATTGGGAGCAGAGACAGGACTCAAACTCAGGGACTCTGATAAGGGCTGCGGGTGTCTTAACCACTGCACCAAATGCTGATCAACAGTCAACCTTGAACACTCACCCCTGACAGCTAGATTGTGCTGGGCTGTCAACCACAAAAGAACTGAGAGGAAACTCAGCATAACGTGTTTCCGTGTTGGCCCTGACAACTGCTCTGACCTCAGCAGACACAAAGGAGCCACCAACGTACCCAGGCGGTCTGCAATTCAGCCAGCAAGATCTTCCTACAGGGAAAAATATGCTCACTGGTGAGCCCAGAACCTCAGCGAGAGCCCCCACGCCCTCTGCAGCAGGGAGAACCGAGAGCTATGGAGATGCCAATGCATAGCAGCTCTTGCGTGACCGCTGGGGTGGGGCAGGGGGTTGGGGACCTCTGCCCTTCAGCACTGTCTACAAGTCCTGTGGTGCTCATCATGGCTTCTGGAATCACAGGGTCACAGGGCCAGAGATTGCAGGACACATGATGTAAACGGCCCAGCTCCCCGGAATACGCACAGAACACGTGAACTCGATTGTCTCAACATGGAAAGATGAGCTTCTTTATTGTGGGCTTTTGTTTTCATATTTTGCTAAGGCTCTCTAAGTACACGCTTTCACATTAGGAAGAAACGAGAAGAAAGGAAGGAACTAGAGACAGGACAGAGAGAACAGCAAAAGACAGAAGCCCAGACTCAGCACCGCAGGGGGCCGGCAGCCACACGTGGCCCATGAGTCTTGTGTGGGTCGTGTGAAGTCCCACTGTCCCAGCGATGTCCATGCACCTGTCAGCAGGCCCTAGCACTGTGTCGGCCAGCACAGCTGTGTGGGCTCAGAGGGGACATCCCCCCGGTACACTGAGGCTCCCCCAGAACCAAACGAGGAAAGGGAAGGGACGGTGCTGCCTGGAGAAGCAGCTCAGCGGCGGGCCCAGCTTCTGCCACTGAGAACAGGCGGGAGCGGGGACAGGGGCCCCGAGAGCGCCGCTTTTCCTGACCACCTCCGGTCTTCAGAATGCTCCAGAAGGGCCTGTGGTCAGGACATGGGGCGCCTGGCCATGCCCACAGGAACCACTTCAGGACACAGCTTCCCAGTGAGAAGCAGCAGAACATGTCACTGTGGGGCCAGAGAGAGTCCTGGAAACAGGGTGCCATCACAGAGGAGGGGGCAGCGGCCTCCTGTGCTCACCACAGTGGGGCGTGCAGCTCTGTGTCTGGGTCACCAGAAACATTCACTGAGCTCTCCCGGGAGACAAGCAATGGGGAGAAAACCACGTGCCCGCTCACTACGGGAGCTCCTGTTCTCTTGGGAGAGGCGGACAGCCAATACATGCGTAGGCACAAATGTGCCTGAACAATGGAATATGTCTACAGGTAATACACAGTAGCTGGCAAGAGGGTTTTAGATATCAGCATGAATAAGTGCTCCATTTCAACTTATATACGATCAGATAACTGAACAGAACGCTGGGTGGTGGGATGTGCTGTGTGGGGATGGGGGACTAGGGTGCTGCCTAAGGTAAGAAGGAGCTGGGGACGCCTCTCAGAGGCAGAGCAAGACAAACACATACCTATGGCCAACATAGTGTAGGCTGAGAGAACAGCCAGTGCAAAGGCCCTGGGGTGCCCAAGGACAACAACCGCTCAATGCAGCCATTATTTCCTAGGGATGCCATGGCAGTGGCTGAAAATACAAAGACACCGCCTTATCCTCAAAGTGCTCACAGAGAAATGCAGATGAAATTCCATGATCATTACATTATGTGTTTTCCATGGGAGCCTCCTGACACAGGAGAAATCAGAGTAGGCTTCCTGATGGTGGTGCTGAGTGAAGTCTTAGCTATGGAGGTGAAGACAGAAGAAGCAGAAGTACACTGCAGGCAGACAGGGCGGCAGAAGCAAAGGCATGGAGGTGGGACTCGGGAGGCAACACTTGCACGGCCCCCAGGAAGGACAGGCAAGTGGATGGGGAGACAGGGACAGCATTTAAGGCCACGCCTTAAACCAGAGAGGTTCAACGAAGAGATAGGAGCCTGCAAGGCATGGCCTGCACACAGGGAAGATTTGAAATCACCCAGACTTGCTGAGGGCTGTCCCAGAGGCAGACCTAAAACCTCAGGAGGAAGGTGGCAAGGTGGACTGGTCAGCGATTTGTGCTGCCCCCCAGAGCAGGGCTGAGGCTGGCAGAGGCGGTCAGCACAGGCTGGACACCCAGCTGCCCCAGAGCAGACCGAGGACCACACCCATGGGGTCTCAGAGAGGGCTGGGCGGGGGCCGAGGAAGGGGCAGTTCAGTTTGAAGGGCTTGTGTGGCAGGGCTGGGGGGTAAGGAAGAAGGCGAAGCAGAGGAAACCTGGAAAACACCTTCCAGGGAGGAATCCCGGCCATGGGATCCAGGCTGTGAACCCCAAACCCAAAAACAGCTCCCAGAGCCGCCACAGACTCCACCTGGCAACTAACTGGCCGGCACAGCTGCCTTCTCAGCAGTGCCTGGGTGAAGACGGAGCGTCCAGGACCTTTTCATTGGTTGGCATTGGCGTCTGGCCCGGCTGCAGGTCAAGTGCACTGGGCTAATGCCGTGTGTGCTGCACCCACACCCAGTGTGCACCTGCCGACAGCCTCAGCACCTGGGCCCCATGGAGCCCCACCCACCCCTCTGCATGTGACCCCGCTGCACCCTTACCTGGCTGCTTCACGGTGACTTCGGTGCGCCCTGAAACCTCCTCCGCCAGCTTGTACCACGCATAGTTGGGGCTCAGCAGCCACTCCTCCACGTGGCAGTAGTAGCTGCCGCTGTCGCTGACCTCTGCCCTCTGGACAGTGAGGCTGAACAGGCCACCCGACGCGTGCCTCTCGAACTGCAGCCTGGGCCGCAGGCCCTCCTCCTCGGCGTAGGTGCCGTACTCGAAGGCAGAGCTGTGGGTGGTTTTGAGGATGAGCTTGCCATCAGCGTCCGAGGGCTTGTGCACGTACCACAGCACGGCGAAGTGGGAGTTCTGGCTTGTCTGAGACTTCACCGAGCAGTTCAGCTGAATGGGCCTGTTCTCCACCAGGGTGAGGGTCCTCTTGGATTTGCTCACCTGCAGCTTCGTCACTGCGGAGGGAAGGGGCACAGTTCAGAACGATCGCCTCCTACTCCAGGGAACACGGCCAAGCTCACACGGTGCCTGGAGGCCCCACCACTGACCTGCTTCCTCCAAGACAGCTCAGTGTGACAAAGCAGCACGGGGCAGGTGCTACCCTCAGACACCCCTCCGTGCGCTCCCTGCCTGCCACGCCCCTGGGCTGGGGCCCTCACCGACTCGCTACGCGTGCCCTGCCCACGGTCCCTGCCATCCAGGGTGATCCTGATCCAGCAAAGACACAAAGCACAAGGCAAGCCTCTGGCACAGCAGTTAAGACCTCGCTTGAGATGCCCGCACTCCACCCTGGAGCGCCTGGGTTCAAGCCCTGGCCCTCCTCCCAATGCACACCCAGGAGACAGCAGGTGATGGCGCCAGTCATTGGAGCCCTCTCACCCACATGGGAGATCCAGCCTGCGCTCTAGACTCCTGGCTTCGGCCAGACCCAGCTCTGGCTGCTGCAGGCATTTGGGGAGCAAACCCCTAGATGGTAGATCTCCGTCTCTTATTCTTTCAAATAAATAAATAAAGCTTTTTAGAAAACTAAAACCTGCCCCTAACACATCCCTATTTAAAAGTGTAGTGGTTCCCAACAGCCCACAGGACGATAAAACTTCCTTTTTCCAGCACAGGGTCCCTCCAGGATCGGTGCTGCCTCGTCTGCCATTACGCACCCCCAGGACCCCCATCCCTGCCAGGCTGTCTCTCCCTGACTCTGCTCTTTGCCCTGCTGTGCCTTCTGCCTGTCTCCTCGCCTCCTCCCATCCCCACCCTTCTCTCCACCCACTCTCCAGTCCCCTCTCATCCTCGGGGCCCGGTGCCCGTCCTCAGCACCCTGTTTACCTCCAGGCTCTTTCCCTTGCATCTGTCTCCCACCTAGCCTGTAGCTCCCAGGAGTGGGGCTCGAGCTCTTCCCGTTCAATCAGCCAGTATTCACAAGTGCCCACTCTGTCCCCTACATGCTGCCCTGGGGCGGAAGACAGAGCCGACTGCACTCAGCCCAGGGCCTGGGCATCACCAAGCACCCGTCAGTCTTTGCTGAAATGCGTGCATGAGTGGGAGAGAGAAGGAGTGCGATGGAGAAATCTGCAGCAGGGGAGGAGAGGGTGCTGGGGCAGCTCCTCCCAGGCAGGGAGAAAGGCAGAGGGCTGAGCAACAGGACAAAGGGAACCAACTCAAGATACCCTTCCCCCACTCTCCTGCTCCCAAAACAGCAAGGGAGGGCAGGCCCCAGAGTGCGGCCCTGGCTGTGAAGGTCGCAGATGTTCACCTCCACGGCGGCAGGAAGCCAAGGTCTAATGACACCTATCTCGTGGCGGTAACCTGAGTTCTTCCCCACCCCCTTGTCGATTCACCTGGCTCTGCCTTCTCCTACTTTCCCTCCTCCCTGCTACTACAAAGCAGCACAGGAGAGAGCAACGATTCTGATTCTTAAGTTCCTCTTAGGAACTGTGCATAGTAAAAACATCATTGCACTCCCACTCCTCTCTCTGCACTTACATTTCACCTGCCAGCTAAGCAAGAGACCTGGCACAGCACACACACACACACACACGCGCGCGCGCCTGACAGGGAGAGCCAGCAGGGCTTCCTGTAATTGGGTGGCAGCGAGGCAGCTTTGCCCCTGCTGGTGCCCAGTGCCCTGCAGGGCAGGCGGTCACGACCCTGGTGTTGCTGCCGGCCTTGGCCGGTCAGCTCACTCAGATTGGCATGCAAGACAGCACCAAGGAGGAGTCCCACACATCAAGGAACGGCAACTTTCGGAAACCACAGCCTGCACTGGAGCCCCTGGATTCAGCAAGCTGAGGGGTGGCAGCAGCCCACACCCAACACCATTACTGCCAAAGCAACCCCGAGGCCACAGCTCCCAGCGGTACGCCAGCACGTGCCCCAGGGGCTGCTGAGCCTACACCTTTGCACACCCCCAGACTTCTCAGGCCAGCCAGAACACAGCAAGCACCAGCATGAGAGAAACCCCATCTCCCCTGCCCCCACTCTGGCTTCTTTTCTGCTAACAAGCTCAGTCTTCTGCCTTCTCCCTTCTTCAAACACGGACAGTCCTCCAGGGCACCCGAGGAACTCAGGGCAGGGTTTACCATTAAGCTCCTGGGTGGAGGAGACTGGATTCCTATTAGCTTGCTGGCCGGTGTACTTTTCAGAATGGATCCCTACCATACCGGAAACAACCGGCTCCCTTTTCATTCCTTTCCAATCCAATTCACCGCATGCAAATGATATCTCTATCAGTACAAATGACACCACCTGAATTATCTGGTTCTTGGCCAAAAAAACCGGGTTGTTCAATGTAGAGTAGAAAGAGCTTTAAAATGTATTATTAATTGGGGCCGGATTATTTTTGCAACTGTTACTAAGGAAACCTCAATTGCTATAGTAACTGCATATGTTAAACTGGAGTCCTATGACTAAACTTCAATCTGGTCACATGGCCTGAGGACGAGCACCCAAGGAAGAGAAGGGTTTCAAAGCATTTCGATTTTTTTTCTCCTTCCCCATGTCAAAATATTGTGAAGTGTTGAGAAGCTTGAAAGAGCGGCATTTTGAGATTCGGTGCCTGCCTGACAGGTGCACAAGGGGTCAGCTGTGGATTTCCTGCCACTTCTCAAGGGCACAGAGGACTCTGCTGAAGCCCAGGAGAGAACGGAGGCTCCACATCTAATTAGCAAGCACCCCCTTGTCCTGCCTCAGCACTGCCCTGGGGTGGGAGGCCGGTGTCGTCTGCACAGCCCCCCTTCCTCCAGTTAGGACAGCCTAGCCCCCTTCAGGGACAAGGATGCCTCTGCCTGCAAAGCGAGAAATAGGAGCACGGTGCAGATTAAAGCCATAGTCTACAGAAAGAGCTTAGCACAGAGCCTGGTAGGTACTAAACACTCAGTGAATGTTCACTATTCCCATTCCGACTGGGCCAGTGGGCCCGCCTGGGCCCGAGTCCGGAGCTCCATAGGAGGTTAGAAACTGACACGAGTGGACCAGCAGCATGGGCATCACCTGGGAGCTGTGAGGAATGCAGACTCTCAGGCCCCACCTGGACTCAACGAACCAGAATCTGCATTTTCCCAAGATCCTCAGGTGACTCAGAAGGGCCCCAGAGCCCAGGAAGCCCTGGGTGTGGCTTGCAGGTGAAAGAAACTTAGAGGCAATAAATGCAGAGGAGAAAGGAAGAATGCAGAAGACTGAGTTCTGATTAATCCCCCATGGTGAATCAGCAGGAGCAAGCGAAGGATCCCAGAGGAGGCAGGAAGGAGGTGAGAGCCCCGCCCATGAGAGCAGAGTCCAGTGCACTCCGCACCTCCATGCCAGCTCCCAGTCTGCAACCCCAACCGCTTCCTTCCCAGGCCCCAGATTGAACCTTGGAGAGTCTGTTATAGAAGAGGCTGTGGCGCTACCCGCCAGGGCAGGGTGGCGGTGCGGGACAGACGTCAGCAAGGAGAGGGACTTGGCAGCCAGAGCGGCAGCAGCTGCCCCAGCAGCCGACCCGCCCACCCTGCGGGTTCGCAGCCCCCACTGAGTTCATCCAGAAGGGATTCCCTTGAACTCCACTACTGCTCTGCCACAGGCTGCCTGGCATTGACCGTGTCGTTCTGCCTCTCAGATTCTTTTTTTTATTTTTTTTTTTAATCAAAGAAGAAAAAAAAAAGAGGTTAACTTTTAAAGCTCTTCTCTTGGCTACAAAATTCTATGCATCTGACTCAGTCATTGCAAAACAAATCCATAAAGGGCTACTTGAATAAACAGGTGATTAATCTTTTAAAGAAAGGGCCACTCATTCTGATTGTGATGGGGGAAGGGTACCTTTCAAACAAAGCACCCATCTTCTGAGCTAGGCCCTGAGAGATGAATGCAGAGGGGCAGGCGAAAGGGCACCCTGGAAAGTGGGGACCGAGAGCAAAGATGACGACCTCTCTGTGCACAGACCGCCAGGGACCAGGAGCTTGTACTTGACCCTGACCACCTGTGGCTCTCCATGGCCCTGCAGCCCCACCTGGGAACTCATCAGAAGCTAGTGAGTTGGAAACGATACAGGCAGGGTGTAGCAGCCTGCGGTTTCCTGAGCCCTCCAGGTGACTGGTGCACACTCCAGCTTGAGAAACCACAGGTGAGCCTGGGGATGGCCGTGAATGAGCAGAAGCCAGAGGGTGGCAGGTAAGGAGAGACGGCTGTTCTTCGTACACCTGCCAGTGATACCAGGGTCAGCCAGGGGCTGCCAAAGGAGAGATTTTTTGAATGGAAAGAAGCACTTAAGACTCTAGACTTGGGGGGGATAAGAGGGAGATTCTGGGGATGCTGGCCCCATTGTTGGGGGAGCAGGCAGCGAAGGCACCTACCAGTCACAGTGGCCACTGTGGACTGCCTATGTCCCCAACACCCCTTGGCTCCCTGCTCTTCTCTCCCCACAGCCATGCCCTGTGGGGAGCAACTGGGAGCAACTCGGACTAGACTAAGTTACTGGAATTAAGACTTATTCTATGCATCTGCTCTTCCACAATATGGCGCTGAGAAGGGAGTAACAACTTCTACGCAGCTGCCTCTCGCCAATTTGATTGACTGAGCTGCAGGAGCTGATCTTGCTCCTGATTGGAGGAGAGCAGCGTACTCGGCGTGTGGGCAGCAGAGTTGGGATTGGCGGAAGAGGACTATAAAGGAGGAGAGAGACAACATGCACCAGGAACATCTAAGAGGAACATCTGAAGGAACACCTGTGCAGCCCCCGAGAGAGCCGGCCGGCGGTGTGCCGCTCCCCCGCGGAAGTGGGGAAAGTGGCAGGGGGAACCGCCCTTCCACGGAGGTGGAAGGGTCGGTAGCCAACCCGGGAAGAACCAGCAGCAAACCCGGGAAGGGCCGAGCAGACGAAAGAACAGCGCAGGGTCCTGTGTCGTTCCTCCGCGAAGTCGGGGAGCGACAATGCCCCTGATTATCTCTTTCTCAGATGGTTGTAGGGGCCCTGTGTGTGAGT